TCTCCCTGTTTCCCCGATGTAGACTTTGCCGCACTCACAGGGAATCCTGTAGACAACACCATCTTGTTTAGCCGGGTTGACGGTGTCCTTTGGTCGCGCTAAGGGTGACCGAAGTGTCGTGTCGGACTTAAAGACGGTGCGAATGCCTTGTTGTTCTAGGCAGCGGCTCCGAAACGGCGGAGCGAAACGATAATACACTCTATTAGGTCTTTTTTAAGGTCTTCGGTCTTTTTAACTGTTATGATGGCATTTAATTGTAGGCCGATGGGTATGGCTGTTAAAACTAAGTTTTACAACGATAACGAAGGATGGAAAACCAAGGTTTTCTTTTCCAGTGAGTAATTGAAATTTTGAATGTTTTCACTCTTAAGCCTCGAGAAAAGCAACCCGGCGAAACGACTTTGTTTTATAAGAAAACTAATTATACTTGGCGCTCTAGGCTAAGTAAACAGATTGAATGGAGTGCATCTTTCATAAGCGCGTCTTAGTCGGGAAAGGAAATTATTCCCGTGCAAAAGATAAAAAATCTTGTGAGGTCGACTACATGTAGTAGAGCTCAAGACACATTATTAAGCAATTAATTGACAATGAAAGTACAGGGATGGGAAAAAGTACTGTACAAAGGCTTAATTACCACATTAATAATTGTGAGTTGAAGTTCAAATTTGAATAAAGGGAAAGCATGCAAAAGAAAACTAAAGGATATTATCACACCTGTTTTCGAATATAATAACACACTTTTCCAATGTCTATTTCCCAACTTTTGTTTAACTTGAAGGGCAGCAGCATTTGAAATTACCCAGGATCCCGCGTTTTGTTTTAGCACACTAGATCTTCTGAACTCACAAATGCGACAAGCGAGTTAATAAGGAAAGATTGCTTATTGATTGAGGACATCAACATAATCTAAAATTCGGAAAACTGTTGCAGCTTTTCTCTAAATTAATCGCACAAAAATGTCGCTTTGAAACACAATTAACCTCCCCGCATATATTCGGCGCACGGCACAACGCAAATTACACCTCTAATTTCCGTAATGAAGCCCTACACACATCTAAAAAACGGTTACTGCTACTTTCTTCACGGAAGAACAATCCTTATTAAAAACAGTCAGCATGTAACATACCTGAAAATGCGCGAACTAAAATCTCCAGGTCAAGTAGTTTCTGTTGCGCGGCACACGAAAGGTAATAATCCTATTACTGCTCTAAGCGTTGTTATTGGCGAACCTGATGTACGTTCGTCCATCATATTACCATTAATTCTTCACTCTGGCGTTGGAGCCAAGGTGTACAAAACTTTGTCGCTTTAACAGACAAGTATTTCACATCTCGGAATTTTCCACCGTTTGTGTTGATTTCACCTTTTTGCTTCCGTCACAATGAGTTCACTGGGGTGAACGCAGTGATACTGGCAAAACGTTTAACATGTGCTCGACATTTTGTTTACGTTTTTCCTAGATTATGTTTACTATACAAATTATGAACGCCACTGTAATTGACTCGGTGCTAACATCATGTGAATTCATTTGTTTACGCATTTATTTATTTGGCTAATGTCAATAGTTTTACTGTGCTTCTCTCTGTGGAGGGTCCAAATTGAAATTGAGGTTCCTGAAGCATCTCTGCGCTGACCTAACTTACTTATCAGCTCAATTAAACCTTTAACAGAATCTTTCATGTATTCCTGAAGAGAAGCTGTAAAAATTTGTTACGCCCTGCCTGTATTTGGCCTTGTAAGTTTCGGTGTTTTAAAGCTGCCGATCGTTTCAGAAGGTATTCAACCATGTTCCTAAAGGCTACCAAAGAGTTCCCATTAATGAAACACGGAATGGTGCAGATAGATGGCTGGCTTCTGTCTTCAGTTCGCTCTTCTTCTCAACTTTCTTTTCGAGGAACGTAAGCGGAATACTTAGTTTTAATTAGACTTCACCTGCAGCTTTTCAAGTTTAGGAATTTTGCTTTCCTGAGGTTTCTGCCTTAAACTTTCTTTTCAGTGAAGTCCAAAACGTGTGTAAATACGAAGTTACTCTATGACAGAGTCGGGCCTGTGTTATTGTTGTTGTCAACGGTTGTAAGTTACAAGGGATGAAGTTATTATAAAATTATGAAGGGTGAAATGGCGAAAAGCCATTTCTCTGTTAAAACACCATAGAAAAGATATCGCTTATTTACTCAATCACTTTTTGTGCGATATGAGATTAGAGAGGAACTAAAAACCATACAGGGTACCAGTGTTGTGTTGGCCTTTTTCGTGGAGACTGTTTATTTTCACAAAAAGATAATCGTTTTTTCTCCGTTTCTCGTCGCTAATTTTATTTCAATCAGTTTCAAATTGCCTTCCACAGATTATAAAATAAGTAGCAAAATACTGTATTTTGTCGATTAAACACCTGGTTTGCAAAGTAACTAAAATAGTAATGACGAGTAGGAGTAACCATGCCAATAAGTTGACAAACCCAGTCTCCTTTCACCTTTTTCTTAAGACCACTGATATCGCGATCGCATCCCTCATCTCCCGTCTGTTTATTTTTGCGTTATAAACAAGGTTATCATTGTTGTTCAAGTCATTCACATTTAAGGCCAGCTGTTACTCCTTAAAAAGTTTAATGAACCTGTGAATATCGAAAACTAAATCGTCTTTCCAAAAAGAGATGTGTTTTCCTCTTCCATTGCCAGTGCACGAGAAAGCGCTGATAAGTGTGGTGACGGGATAAAAATAATCGAGGGTGGTTGCAGAATACTGAATTCAGAACATCAACATGTAAGCTTGTTGGTTTCTAAAATCATTGATTTCGCCGACTCATCTGGAAGCATTCATTTCGGAGGCAGCTTGAAACTTCGTTATCTCTTAGTCTTGCGGCACTACATCGTGACTGCTATATATAGACCTCCCAATGCCCTAACCACTTTTATGTGCCGAATTTTATGATCCTCCGTCATGAAATTAATTGAGCGAATGGCCTTTGTTCAGTCTCTTGATCGAAAGACTTTTTTTGGACATACTGAACTAGTATTACAAGCCAAACAGACTGTTAAAGAAGGCTTTACGTCAAGCTCGAGAACCTGTGGACCCGCAAAGGTCACGTGCATGCTAGAACGTGCGACACCAATGGACTCCTGAGTTTACATCAGTACAAATTCAACAAACCGATTACCACTTGTCACAAGACAGTTATTATGATTTTGCAAATTATGTTAACTGTAATGCAAAACTGTTCTCTTTCTAAGAAAGGCTCCAGTACAAGTTTGGTTAATATTCAACGGAACCGTACGAGTCACTGACGGAAACTGAAAAGGAAATTAAATGACGTGAAAACTTCAACAAAACGGTAATGGCGGTCTAAAAGTTATGCCCATTGTGGAAAATTACAATCAGCATTAAGCTGGAGTTCGGTACGGCTCTGATAGCTCATCCCATATTCGTGTCATGTGTGTGGGAGATCCGCATGGACCCTTCCCGCCATATTTCGGTGTGCTCTTTCCGCGTCAGGTACCAATTGTTGTCACAGAGATGCAGAAGCCCGTTTACACGACTCGAAAACTATGACTAAGGGAAAAAAAACAAAAAACAAAAACAAAAAACCCGCATCGCAGTTTCATTGAGGTAGTGTACTACACAACCATATAGTAACCATGAAGATTAAGGGTCTATCAAAACAAAACTGCGTTTGAGTAAACGCAGTCCTAAATTTCACGAATCAAAACCTTGATACTCGCGCATAAGCAGATCATGATATCTGTTGTCCACGGTGTTACGCCCCTGTTATCCAGTGGGATTCTGTCTCCAGTAGAGGAATATACCAATAATTTCAGTGAATTGGGCAGCATGACAGATCGAAAAATCGTATGCTGGCTAAAAATTCAGTTCGGCACTACGGGTTTGCCTCGGGGGGTTTGTCTACGACTTTAAGACCAAATAAATATGTGAATTATGGTTTTTGTTTTAGATTTTTTTAACAAATTCATAAGGACTTCTTTCTAATTTTTTTTTTCTAATAGAAGGTTCGAAAGTGCTAATTTCAGAGCAACAAAATGACGCCAACAATAAAAAGCAAGTCGCTCATAACACCTGCTTTTTTGTGTTAACTTTAGAGGAGCCACTTACTCGAATGTTTCTCTTATTGCAACAGAACAGTCCCTAAAATCAAGAGGTAGCATTTTACAAGAAACATGAATTGACTGAATAGAATCAATGTATCATCCATATCAAAGTAAAAAGGAAACTATATTCGTTGTTATGGTTGCAATGCAGTAAGACCGTTCCTTCTATCAATTCAAATAATACTCTTGAATAGGCGGGGAAAAAGAGATTAAAACCCCGAATGATGTGTGTTTTAATTAGACTGCAAACATAAAATTTAACTTTCAGGATATGACAGTTCCTATAGTTTTTAAGCATATGGAATATATTAAATTTTGGCGCTTTGGCGGGACCGCTAAAGTGAGTATTCGTGATACGTAGAGAAAGAAAAGTGATGTTAAGCCCGGAAGCAGCAGGGATTAACGTTTTCTTAGCTTGTGTAATCTTTCCAAGGCTTGCTTTAATTTATCAGCCAATATCCAACTTGCAAGCGTGCTTAATTCCGCTAATAAAGTTAATCTAAAGTAAACAATAATAACCGTTCTTAAGTGGGTGGAATATGTAAAAATTATTCTCATCAAGGTTGTCCCTTATCATCCCTTAGCTAAGTTATTAAATGAAACATACTGAGCTTTTATTATCATCATTAACGTTGTAACCATTTGTTCAAAAATAACAAAGCGATTCTACGGTGAAACGTTTTATAGCTAGAATCCGGATCATGAGTTTTTTCTTTCCAGACAACAAGTTAACCGGCGAAGAAGCCAAGCAGCAGGCGAACTTTATAAAACCAATAATTTTCTTAAGTAAACAGACTCCGCATAGCCGGTGCGTGTTACGTCTCCGTCGAGTTATTCGCTTATTTTTAAGTGGCGCGTTGGGTAAGTGACAACTAGAGACAATTTCCCGTCGCGTGGATGCAGCCCTTATAAAAACCTTTTACTCACGGAAGACATGAATAATCCGCAAATAAAGCTTAAGTGATGGAAATCAAGATTTTTCCAGTACTTGTGTTTGCCTTAATTCTTCTATGGACTTCACAGGAGCTTCATGGATATACCGCGCAATGGGTTCATCACGGTAACCGCGGCTCAGGAAGAAAGAAGAATGAAATTTTACAAAAGGTGAGCTTGCAGAGGTATGTTTAGGGACCTTTATTTTTGAGTTGATGCCGCCCGTTCAAGATAGTGCGGTGGGGTAAACCAACAACAGACATAACCCGCTACTTTCTTACGCTTAGGATCAACTTCAAAATCAACACTTTTTTAGTGAATAAAGTGCCTCAGAAGGGCTCTTTGTTATTTTAGTCGGTGATAGCTCCATTAGAAAAGTTCCGCTTTTTTCTTAAAATATTTAAATCAACCCCAAAATGGAAATGCTGTCAAAATTGTTAGAATGCTATATATAATCATCTTGTCTTTCTAGGTTCAAGAGTTAATTCTATCAGATTCTTTCTTTAACACTGAAAGCATCTTCTTTTCCGCGGCTGTGGAAATGGAGCAAATTTTCCGGAAAATCCGCGAACTGTTTTCGAAATGCAAACCATTTCCCTGAAAATACTGGCAGCAAAATCAAATAAAACAGAAATTCCATGTTGGAAATTATGGAGAAACACTGGTAAAGCTCGAGGGGTTGTCCTCTTTTCAGGAAACTCTGGAATATGCTGTTCTGTTTCGCACAGAAACCCAAACCGAAAGTTTTGGCCATATAAATTCACAAGAGCAAAACATTTTATCGTCTCATTATCACTTGACATTGTCAACATTTTGTAAAGTGCATGTGCAGGCGCTGAGGAGTGTTTTTTTTTCCAGTTTGGTGTCTAGAATACAGGTGGTAAATATGGTAACATCATCGTCTAGCCGAGTTTAGGGGAATAGATATTTAACTACTTGACGAGTGAGGTTCACTGATTTCCTTTTGCCACTAAAACAAACGCTTAAGAATCAGGGAACGGGATGGAGGGTGGGAAATCGATATGAATCGTCGTACTGAAGCTTCGGATGGACTAAGTAAAATAGGGACTCAGGTTATACATTGAAAACGACGAAGGCCGTCATCATTGGCTAATGTGAAGAAAGCTTTCCAGTTCCAGACGAATTTGCATTCCAAATGACCGTGAATCACGGAAACTTAAATGTTTTGTGACGTCAAATGAATTATTTTGTGACGTTGCTTTGATTAATTTAATTTTATTTTAAAGAGTGCTCTTGACCGCTTGTTAAATTCCAGTTCAAGACCGTTCCATTGATCGTTGTTAGGACAAACATCTACGATACGAGCTGTAACACAATTATTTTTTGGAGGTCATGATTATGGTGTAGGCAAAATTTAAACAAATAAGAACGTTTTTGAGATAGGAATATACGCAGCTGGATAAAAGCTGGTTCATTTGGAAGTGGAGAATTAGAAAATTGAAAAGATACTTTTGATAATTGTGCGCTTCTATGAGAGTAGATGAATTGATTCAAAAGTCGAACTTTACATGTGCCGAATCTAATTATTAGATTCGGCACATATAAAGTTCGACGTTTGAACCGGGCCTCAAAGTGGAGAATTAGCAAATTGAAAAGATACCTTTTGATAATAGTGCGCTTCTAGGAGAGTAGACGAATTTAAAGTTTATCACATTGCTCGTAGAAGTTTTTCTTGACGCGTACCTTTGATAATTTGATTGAACAGCAAACAACCAAGCAGGAGGGGTTCTGGAAAGTAAATCTGACAAGTTTTCCAAGCCTTGCTAACAATCAGGTCTCACTAGTCGACAATTTCACAAATAAGGAAAAATTTTGACTTGTTCACCGACTAAGAAATTTTTGCTCGCCGTATGAAATTTTATTTTGAAATTGACCGCTTTGTCTCTTTATCCCTGGCTTCTCCAGGCCACATTAACGCCTGGTTAACACGCAATATTTTTTTTCTCCAAGGAGAGTAGAGGAACCGGATTACCATTGAGTAGAAGGAAACTGTGCATGACTGCAAAAATGCTTGGTTGTAACGAAGAGTACAGACAAGAAGAGCAGATAACACAGGAGTGACGGATATGACAAGTTTCCGCATGCAGTCAACCTGAACTTGCAGAATAATGGAATTGCTAACGGCTTCCACAGGAATTTACTGAATTTGGGAAATGTAAAGAACCATTTAAGACATTGATAAATGAAAATAAAGCTACGTCTTCTTGAAAATGTCTTGTGGCACTTAATTTGTTAGTTTAATCCCTGAAATAACTATGAGCAGAGAATAATGTAGTGATGGGAAAAAGTAATTGAAGAAAATCCTCCGTGTCGAATGAACCTACAAAGATAACAATGGTCGTTAGATTTTGAGGGACGACGAATAATTCCTCCTCAGTGAAATGGTAGAAGGTAAATGTGAGGCGAACGAAAAATTCCTTTTACTTGACACAAGAAGCAATCTTGGACTATATACAGACTCTGTTTTCGTTTTCCTGATACATTAGGTTTGTTGCCACCTTGACTAATAAAAGTATCCAATAAGGGAAATGAAAGTCTTCTGTAGAAGCCTTACAGAATGACTGCAATTGCACCTGTCATGTGCTTACCTGATATTTTTCCACGCATTACTCGCCTGACAGAAACCAGTTCTTTTAGACGAAATTTTTATAACATTTGTCTTACGGGTTATTAAAGTTCGTTTCGGGCAAATTAATAGAATTTCCGTTTGATCTTCCAATTTTTGTTTTTAATTTCGCCATCCCTTTTAGAAACTAGAATGTTTGAGATTTCTAGCTTCGGTCCTCATATAACAAACAACAATCGAACTATTAAGCCATCGCTTGTGTTCTAGTAATGTTCCAATCGAAAGACAGCAAAAGTTTTTTCACACCTTTGATCTTTTGTTATTTATTCGTATTGGTCTATGCACGGCTCGGCCAATTCAATGTTTTCAACTTTCTCAAAAGTTGAAAAAAAAAAAAAAAAAAAAATGAAATAAGCAAATATTACTTAACTAAAATGTTTGTATTTGTTTTCGACTACCCAAGAAAAGAGTTAAATTAGCAAAGGAGCAGTAAAAATGCATCATTTTTTTTCCTTTTTTCTATCTTAATAGTGAAGATTTGTTCCACTGCCAAAATATTTTACAAGTATCAGTTTATTTTTTCCCGATGGTCAATAACCCTTTCCCAATATATTCTCTGAACCTCACAATAAATCGCAGAATTACAACTTGATCCTAGTTTAAGCTTAGAGTTTGACAAACGCACCACCTTTGTTTTAAAGGAAGTGGAAGGAACAGCTGTTAGGAAACTTGTTTCAGGTGACTCTATCTCCAGCATAACACCCTTAATCTGCCACCCTCGTGGTTTCCATGGTAATTTTATTTAGTCGGAAAAATTCATTACTCACTTAGTGTGCAGCTGTCGATAACCACAGCTAGCTTTTCACAAGTAAAACAAACAGATAATCGAAAGGGTGGCATTAATGTTCCAAATTGTCAGTAAAAGCTAGGTAGATTGACTGTAAAAGGTGAGACACAGAACAGGAATGAGAAAAGGCTGTATGCAAATTACTTTTAAATTCCGTGCCTCGATATGCGTTCTGATAGTAATTTAACCGGTTCGAAAGCAATTCTCTTTTGTATTGACAGAATAAAATAATATTTTGAGAGCTGCTGCAAATAAGAGAAGATACTAAATTTGCGTTAATATTCGACATTTAAATGCTATGAATCCTAACAGAAAAAGGTGGTTATTTCTTCGCGAAAACTGAAAACATAAATTACGGTTTGGAAGAAAACAAAGTCAACGCTATAAGCCAAATTTCCATCTCGCGATCGAGAAAAACTTCAGCTTATAACTGCAAACTGCTAAAATCCCTCTTTTATATCTTCGTCGAACAGATATTATTTGTCACATTAATTCCGATTTAAAGATACTAATCCGATCCAGAAGAAGTAAAAAGTACTAATTGTGTCTCTACCTGTTGGTAAATATCTTAAATCAACGCTAAAAAGAGATTTATTAAGGTTGGTAAAAATTCTTACCTTTTTAGTTAAAGAAAACAGAAATTATCCGCAAGGGCTGAACTAGAAACGGCATTGGTTGATATCATGTTTTCCTTTATATGCCCTCGTTTAAGTGAAAAAAGCGGCTTTTTGTCCACCGCCAACAGAACAAATTGGACAGAAAGCAAAACCCATTACGAATTGATTATACCGTGCCGCCTACGTTGCCATGGGACACTTCACTATAAGTGAACGGTGACAAAGTCACACTGACGAAGCGTGGCTAGCGGCAAAAGTTGAATCTCAGAGACAATATTCTCACAAACATAAAACTTGTACCAATAGGAGTGAATGTTTTTTTCTAAACCGTGCATCATGACTATTTTTTAAAACATGAAAAAGCATTTACACCTTGAAAAAGATTAATGATAATAATAATTAGCACTTATATGGCGAAAATTTAATTTTCGTTTTCAAATGCGCCATACAATAAGCTAAAATTAATGAAAAAAAAAAATACCATCTTGAGTAGAAATGTTCCCTGGTTAAGGATTTTAAAATGTAAGCTATCGGCTGCCAGTCAAAGTCACTAAAAACTAAAATATAAAAGCGCGAGATTCAAAATATATGCTCAAAGAAAGTAGGAAAAAAAAATTGAAAAGGTAAAATAAGGAACAAAATAATGTGCTAATTTTTTTAAAAAATAGAGTATTGTTTTTGCAACGGCTTGGCCGTATTGTCTGCCTCGTTAGAGTTCGCAGTGTGCCACGATTCTAAAGTTCTTCGAACTCAAAATTTTCCTTATCACACTGACATTATCAAAATCAATAGAATGGTTGTTGGACCATGCGTGGGCGCTGAAATATTGGAACCTTATTGCATGGTTTTACATTTCGAATGTAATATTTTTTCCTCAGGCTTAGAAAACAAAAAAACCTTCCAGTTTCGTTAGTGTAGCTTCAAGGACAGTCAGAACGAAGCAATCTGTACACTACATTAGTCTGAAGATCAAGGGGTGGCCTAACCTTTGGAGAAGGGAATTCTTGTAGCAGGGTCTTGTGAGGCTTAGTGACAACACTGATTCCGTTCTTTCTAAGACGACATGTGAATGGTTCCGCTGCGGTTATGCCAGAAATGTCGGACTAACTTTACTGCATTTGCAGCGTTTGAGCACTCCAAGACATTTCTCAGTATTTTCCAGTCATTTATTTTGAATGCTACTGCAAATACCTATTTTGAACAGAGGACACAAGTGTCCATTTCGTGGATAATATTGCATATTATTTGCTTTTGACAAATGCAGCAATTTATGTTTACTCAGTGAAATCATTCGATTTGACCCCCAAAAATAAATTTTAAGAAATATCTGCGAAATGAATAATCACTACATGGTGTATTTACTATTATTAAATAAACACCAGGGAAATACCAGGTAAGCTTTCGCGTAATAACATGATATCTTCACACGTGAAAACATCGTCGTTGCTATGGTTACATAAATCGCGCCTTTCGCAGCGAATGGGAAATAAATAAAGCATTGCATGGCCGCTTGGAGACAGGGTATTTCCCTTCCACTCTCATGCCGAGGAATGTTTCACTCGTTAGATGCTGTCACTCGTGAAATATCTTTCAACACGCGCGGTCATGTAATATCCTCTATTTATCTTTTTGCTTTCACTACTCTATCTCTTCTCGGTATTAAATGATGTGCGGGAGCACACCATTAGGACTAAAAGTTACAATTGTGTATTTATGTATAAAACGTGTTGACAGAGAGATAGACCTTGTTACCGAGCCTCAATCCTGAACGAATGATCATGATGAATGATCGAATGATCATGGTAAATTAGTGAATTTTAATCCTCAAAATTGGACAAGCGCGGTACATTAGAGCACAAAACAGTTTTAATTGATTATTTACGCTCGTCATTTCTAATACCGCGCCTTCACGTTTCAAGGTAATTACTACTGATCGACCTTGAATTAACAACAGCGTTAAATTTCTTTATGTAAATTGTTTCTTTGTTTCATATATCCCGTTTCCTTTGTAATGTGAACTTAAATGAACTAAGAAATAATATCTGACATCAGTCGCATCAGCGACATTTTTTTATGATTTTGAATGAACGATTGTTAACTAAGAACTGTAATTTTATAGTTTACAACAAGCCAACGTTTCCTTGGGATAAATTATAGAGGGAAGAAAAAATTGAAGATGTAATTCATCGCCTACACACTTTTTTCACTTTTTTAAGGTGTACATGGCGTTTTCCGTTTTTAGTTTTCAATGCGTGGGAAGCTTTTCAGAACGATGAATACTTCAGGGAGTAGCCACTGTTGTTTTTTCTATGATTTAATTCTACGTGTAGGAATTAGAACCAAGATTTTTTGGGCTTGGGCCCGGTCCACACTACGCCGGAGAAATTTGAAAACGCAGCTTTGTTTCTACGGTTAGGCCTTCCGTCTACACTAATCCGTCACGAAAACGGAGTTTTTTGAAATCGCTCTTCAAACCGGAGGAATTTGAAAACGTCGGCTTTGCGTTTTAGTGTAAACGAAAAAAGAAAAAAAAATTGAAAACGGAGTTTTTTTGAAAACGATGGCGTCACGATAATTACGTGATTTCCCTGCCCGAGTTTTTCTCAGACGCAAATCCAAAATGACCGGCGATTGTTGCGTTTTGAAATCTCTCTGGCGGACTGTGGACGGGGCCTTAAAGCAAAAACTAAAGAAACACCCCGACAACATCTTCTTGTACTTTTTATTAAACTCAAACTTTACTGAAGTACAAGTTTCTTTATCTCGGCATCATTCATAACTTTTTCTGTATGTTAATATGTGTCCATTTCAACAACCAAGACGTTTGGCCGCATCACACAGCTCTCTCTTCATGGCAAAATTATCCATCTCTTCCTTCAGAAAAAAAAAAATGAAGAGAGAATGCTTAAGAATAGGCGTTAATACTGTCAGGGCATTCACGCATCCACAATTTCGACGCACACTCAGGCATATCGAGGAGGTTTATCAATCATTACATCGCGATCGACCCCACGCTCTTCTAGTCTCCTCCGCAGCCGTTTTTTGGGATGTCACGCAACGCTCCCCCCATAAAACGGCTGCGGAGGAGACTAACGCTCTTCATGTGGTTTTGGTTGTGATCATACTCACCCTTATGGTTTTCTGCTGCAGAGTTCTTTTTCCGGGCACCGCCATCCCCGCTCCATATCCAAAAGCATCACAAACGGGTGAAAACAACACCAGAAGGACAAATACACAAATCAAACACCCAAAGACTCTTGTTGCCATTTTCTTGAAGGGAATTCGTTTTTCGAACAACAATGATTTGGCGTTGTTACAAGATGATTTTAGGATACTAGAGGTTTGGGTTTAAATATGCAACTAAGAACTAATTATTTCTCAAGAAATAATCAAGATTGGCATTCTGTGCAAGTAAAGACATGAAACAGTGCGGTGCGGTGCGGAAAAAAGAAATAAATAAAAATTATATAATTCATCGCAGTGACTTATGTCGCACATATGTTCAAGATTACTATTCATTCTGGGCAAAGTTGTAAAAAAAAACTGCCAGAAAGAGCACCGAAAATTTAAAGGAAATGTAAGGCAAAGTAATACAAAATTATTGTCACCTGTTAGTCAGCCTCGAGCTATGAACAATCGCTTTTACTGATCCCCAACTTGAGTCACCGAATAAGTATTAAAAAAGCCCAGCTGGGTTTCCTAAAGCTCTCTTTGTGAGAAGAGTGAACGTTTCTTTTTTATCGTCTAATTTATTTACTTTTCTCAGGCCATGTACATTTCTAGTTATATTTATTAACATTTTTCATTATCAAGCATTGCACGTTGTTAGTTTCACGGCTCTTTCCTTTATGATGTAAATGCGACGAGTGGGATCTCGCAATTGTTATTATTAATTAATTCACTGTAATTACTCACGAACTTCTCCCATCTGGTCTCGTAGTCCAGTCACTATAGAGCAACCTACGTCCGTAGATCTTTGCTTTGAACACTGAGGTCGAAGAATGGTTTCTTAATCTCGTGTGGTCTCCCCTACTTCCTTTATAGAAGGGAACGCAATGTATGGAGGGGGCCTTAATTTTTTTTTTTGATGGTATAATTTTCATTATCTATGATAATTAATTTATTCGAACAAATTTTCAGTGAAAGTTCACCAATAGTTTAAAATGCCACCATTATCAGTCTCGTATTGTAAGCAAATAAAGACGAGAGAGATATATAAAAGATTTATAAAGAAAATTAAAAGACAGTACAACGATTGAATGAATACATAGTGTAGCATATTTACTAGTTCTTAAACGCGGAACTTAGCACTAAAGCAGCCGAAGGAAAGTTATCGTAGCCGTGTCAAAGGTCTAAACAACAAATTGACGACATCATACTCAAACGTTTCTTTCCAGTGAAGACGAAAAAATAACTAGAAGCAAAATTTACCTTCGGCTACCGTACAGTAATAAAACTTATTTTGAGGGTACAAGCGGACCTCGTTGGAACTGTACTTCGGTAATGCTGTGCCCTGTTTTCTTTTTTATTTTTTTTTTAAGATAACTTCCTTTAGATCCACTTAGACAATTTTATCGTTACGGAATAATAAACTTTGGATCTCTAATTTTTCCTGAAGCACCTCAAGAAAAAACCAAAATGGTTAATCCTGCCAAATTCCTCATTTCTTATTTCAATGAGAAAACTGTCTGTTTATATCATGACAACTTATTTAAAAAAAAAAAACATTCTACTGCGTAACTTGCTTAGAGACATGTTCGTATCGAGAGTGTGAAAATATTGCAGCAAATGGGACCAGGAGCCATAATCGGGGACGGAGACCGTAAGTCTTGGGGTCCGCGTGCACCTATGATATGCGACAATTTTTCTATTTTTAGAACAAGTTGCGCCATCCTGACGTCATATATCCGCGCGGATCCACGCACATGTCGGGGGCTCTCGCGTGGATGTTGTCATGCTGCGCGATCAAATGGTGAGAGTTGCAAGATTCTCTTGCAGATTTTTCACAGCGGTGGCAGGGAATAAGGCATGCGCATGGAATAAGAATCAGGGCTCTTATATGTAGTTTTATGCTCTGAACTAATGGAAAAGGTGAGTTTTTCAGGGTCGAAAACATGACTTCGATTTCGCGCTGTGAATGAATAATATCTGCTCGCGCTAGTTGTACGCGTAAGCTTTTGCGTTTGTTCGTAAAGAAAAGTTATGTAAGAAAACTTTTTACTCTGGTATCGAGCTAATTTGTGAGTTTCCCAAACAATGCTTAATCACAACCAAACCCTGTTTTGATAGTTTCTCATTGTTTCTGTTTGTTTGGCGAGTTTGCAAAAAATTTGGAAAGAAAGTCTGACGCGTACAAGTAGCTCATTTGCACAGTGCAGCGCGTGCATTTGCAAATCCGAGTCGGTGTTTTCACCTACAAATCTTGACAGAGGTTTCTTTCGTTGTCTTTTGTGCCGAGATGCTGCAACAATTTTTGCGAAAATAAAATAGACAGGGAGTTTTGATAAATCAACCAACAAAACCGAAATCGAGTTGATTAAGAAAGCGCCATCGTAATTTTGCTGATTATTTCCGCTGTATTCGCATATTTACAGCTAAGCTTTTAATATGTTCTCAAACATTTACCAACCTTAAACATATTTAAAAACTAGAGATATTATATGAGTTCGATGTACGTTTTCAACCGAAAGTGCGGGAGTCCAATTTGTCATGTTTTACTGACTGTACAAAACACGCATCGTTGGGCGCTCTTATTCATCGACAACAGACAATTTATTGGATTTTTACCCAAACAAAACTGAGCAGCATCTACAGACATAAACTTTATTGTCACCTATTGGGCCTTGATAAAACATCAAGCGTTGCTTACAATTCAGGCGAAACTCAAACTTGCAATTATTTTNTTACCCAAACAAAACTGAGCAGCATCTACAGACATAAACTTTATTGTCACCTATTGGGCCTTGATAAAACATCAAGCGTTGCTTACAATTCAGGCGAAACTCAAACTTGCAATTATTTTTGTTTTTACTTTTCGGTCGAGATAGACTCTTGCGAAATCCTCGCAAGCGTATGGCGAGAGGAAGGAAACTTTGAAGTCCTGAAACGCTGCTATATCTAAATATATCTAACCAGTTTTTTGCTGTGTTATGGAAAAGCTGTTAATCTTCAACATATGTGAAACTTAGAGTGGAGTAATGTGGAGATCTTGTAAAAGAATACGAGCTGCTGATACTCCTGGATTCAAACCATTTACTATGTTGGTCAGTGATATCATAAAGCGGCACATAACTAAATTCGACACTGTCTTACTTCACTCAAACTGGAGCAGCTTACGACGAAAACACTAAAGTAAAATTCTAACAGTCTTGAACGTATTGAGTTGTGGGCCAAAAGCATCAAACATTTCAGGAATTTCGGACGCCATTTCCTCGCGCTACATCCGCAAAAATCCTCGCACCATGTACGCGCGTGTGCAGCACGGGATGGCGCAATTTGGTCTAAAAATAGAAAAATTGTCCCATATCATAGGGACAGCCCCAATACTCGAAATGGCGCGCGCTTACGATCTCCGTCCCCGATTATGGCTCCTGATGGGGTTTAATTAAGTATTAGGACAGTCGGAACTGACTATGGTAAATGGGGTAATCTCAATGGGGGAAGCCTTTTGTGGACGTGACAAAACTAAGGAAACTCTCCAACGCCACCTTCTTTTACTATTTTATTAACATTCAAACTGTTTATTCCACACAATGGTAAGCTAGAATGTCTCTTAGTTACATATTTCTTTAATTTGACATCATAATTCAGAGAAGATACAAGTTTAGTTTATTTCCTGCCTGCCGAATATTTGCTGTATGTTTTACTGTTTAGTTCAGCAACCAAGACTTTTCGCTGCATCACACAGCTCACGCTTCATGGCAAAATGACGCATGTCTTCCTGTAGAAAGAACGGAAAAAAATAAATAAAAGCAAACTAAACGCTCGTGTATGGCAGGACATGAAATGCGAAAGTCAAAATAACACAACAAAATACAAGGAAAAATTAAAATGGTTGTTGATCGGGCGCCAAACAAGCTATATGGGAATTAGAAATTCAGGGCACAAGTTGCCTGTATGCATAGAGTAGATAAATGTTAATAGTAACATTGAAACACATCGGGCTTTCGTCATTCTTGATTGTCATCCTTCTTCTCATCGTTCCCAAGGCCGTAGCGGGAAAAAGATCTGACTGAAGCAATAGCCATGAAAACATGACTAAACAAACCACGCTATCCGCTGGATAGTGATTTATTCGGTGGATAGTGTTATCCCGGGCCAGGTATTTTAGAATATTTCTGATACTAATAAACAACTGAAACGAAGAAAATGACTGAGGCAATAGCCTCAGTTTGTCTGTTATTACTGCATGGCCCTGACTCCTACGCCCTTTAGTATTCTGTTACCAAATTTTCAAAAGTAATAAAACTTAGGTAAAATCGTTTTTACCGGAGAAAAACTATACTTACAATCACACTCTTTTTCTCTTTGAACAATCTTTTCCCAGCTAGGGCTCCATTTCCAATTGCATCACATTCAGGTGAAGATAACGCCAGTAGGACAAGTATACAAATTAAGCAAGGAAACATTTTGGTTGCCATTTTCTTGCGGAGGATTCACGCAGTAGTTTTGCCTTTGTTAAAGAATGCTTTCCGAACTGATTCTACAAGGTTGCGTTTAAATAGGAAACTAAGAACGAATTACTTGATGGCAAATAATGAGAATTGGCATCCTAAGCAGGGGACGTTATTAAAAATGTAACTGAAGAACTATAGCTCAAGAAAGGTGAAGCGGTTGAATGAGGTAAAATTTGAGTTTAGATAAACAACTATAGTCTACGCTTCACAACGCATAATGTTCAAGTGTTGAATTCCGTATGAAGAATTTAAAGTTATTAAAAATACTGAAGCCAGCTCTGAAATAGTGAGGTCAAGGTAAACTAATTTGTTCTTCGGGATTTGCTACAGAATGATTTATTTGACGCCAGATAATCAAGATTGGCATTTCTTACAAGGAAAGATATTACAAAGCGAACTAATAAATAGTTAGTAACACGAATATAAAACCATTCTGAACCATTTAAATGGGCAACTGCAATGAATAATTTCACGGCACATAATTAACGTCGGCGTTCCTTGTGACAAAAAGTTTTGTTACGAATTAATGGAAGAATGATTGTTGTTAAATGGCGGGTCCAAAGTGGAGTAATTAAAAATATATATTATCACCTTTTAATTTGTGTTAAACCATGGATATTCGTAACTTGTTAACTGTCAAAGCCGCCAATTCACAAATATTCACTATGAAAAACATACTCACTTCGGTTTCCTTGCTGTTTTTTCCTTTTCCTTGTGGGATACAATGGACGTTTCTTCTTTTATTATTGACTTTTAAAATTGTTTAGTTATGTTCAGTCCTGGTTCATTCTTGGTTACTATTATTGACATGATTATTATCAAACCTCTAGATTGCTGGATTTATGATTCTTTCCTTCGTAACGTGGAATAACTTCATGTTTTACAACTTAAAAAGAAAACCTGTTCGCCACGATTCTGGTGAAAATCCCGCGGAAAGTCTATATTAAACGCACTGCAAAACAAATTGAACAGTTTTATTAACTTCAAATGCAAATAGGACGCTTTTTCAACATCTGGGCTTATTAATTAAAGTTAGAGAATACGTACATCTGCTGTTGGAAATTTTCGCATTAAACGTTCTTATATTCTCTTTCTCGAGAAATTGACGATCAAACTTGTTCTAAATTAGCTTTTAGCTTAAGTCAAAAACATATGTTTTGTTATTGCAATTGTTAATTGCTTCCACACATGACATCACAAACTCGAGCATTGATATGAATATCTTAAAATGAATTCTTCTGTAAACCACTGAATTACAGTAACCATATTACTGAGCTTAAGAATATTTTTTGCTGCAATTTTCACTTCTCCTCCTGAAAAGGCATTCCTTGCTTTGAGCAGTTTAGCACTTAATTTTTACTTTGTTTGCTTAAGCGCTATAAGCGACGAAAAGCCCATCTTCCGGTGCATGCTATAAGAACCCTCACATCTCTAAATGTTTGACAGGTGTGCTGTGGAGAGAGGCACCGTAAAGTGTTTTGTATAGGAAGACAACATAGAATCAGTGAACCGTCCCTCCCGACCAGGAGGAGTCCATTTCTCTAAGCATTGAGCCTATACGAGGAGTATACAAGAAGTGAACAACTGAAACATTAATAATATTGAAAGGAATCGTTTCACTTTCACATATTTGCATTTGGCCAACTGAGTTCGCTTCTCTTGTCCCTGTAATTTATCAGCAGGAAGTCTGTAAACATTTGTGAAATTCAAAACGATATATATTTTTAAAATAGCCTTTGGTCAGAATTGGCTGTATATTCCCGAGTCTAGTCATTGTGCGACTCAGAATTTGTTTTGTCATTTTATAGTTGAGCACGAACGAAGTGAACTAATTGTTACCAAGATATTCTTCAACAGTTTTAAATGACTTCTGAGCCCTTGCAGTTTGGGTTACTCGCCAAAGTTTTTGGTGGTGGTGTGCGGCTCGAACCCTGAAACCCGTGCCCTTTTACAGAAAAGGTATTCCTCTCTTTGATCAGTTTCCAAATAACAATGCTAAATTTTAATAGACTTTCTTAATTTGAGCTTTTTTTCTTAAAAGACATAAACGACCAAATGCCCATCTTCCGGTGCATTTTATAAAAACGCTAACATCCCTAAATTTCGGTTGTGTTGTGGAGAGAGGCACTGTAAAGTGCTTGTATAAGAAGACAACATAGAATCAGTGGAATCGTCCCTGACGGTAAGCAGGAGTCCATTGCTCTATAAGCTTTGAGCCAATGCAAGGATTATGCAAAAAGTGAACAACTGAAACATAAGTAATAATATTGATAGACATCGTTTCGTTTTCACACATTTGTATTTAACTTTTGCATTATCGTATTCTCGGCATCTGTTTTAAATACCTCATTTATAAATGTAACCTAAATGAACAATATGTACTCTTCTCGCTGTTTAAGATACAACTTCGAGAAAACAATGACTCAAAAGTACATTGCAATAAAATAACAAAACTGCCAAGCTCTTTAATAAGAAATGGAAATGCCTTATATTAAAAGATTTTGTCCCAGAAATTTTGCCACCACCAATGTCTCAATAGGACAAATTAATTTACTTACTTTGTATCAATGTTGTCATCATGGTTTTCAAATTTCTAGTCAGTGGCACTGGAAAAGTTGAAAATTTACATGGACATGTCAATTTTAATTTACAATATGTAAATCTTGATTTACATTCTTTGTAAATTACAATTTACATGTTAGGGTTTTGTAAAATAAA